GAACTGCCAGCATGGGAGTGGATGATTGGACCATGTGATGGACTTGTGGGTGTGGGGATGCAAGATCTTGAACTTTCAACTGGGTGGGGGAAAACCGGGAAGCTTTCAGATTCAGGTTTTCCCAGATGTGCCAACGTGGCTCTCTTAATAAATTGGAACTTTTGAGCCATACTTCGCCTTGGATGTGGATTTAATTTTGGATGCTATTTGGAACCTTGACACCAGTTGGATCCTGAAACATCTGCAAGAAAACCACCGAGCTCAGAGACCACCAAGAACTCTGCGAACTTCCAACCTTGAGCTACAGGGATTGCCTTCTATTAAATCTTCCTCTGCGTTACTTTTACCAAATCGGATGAATGCAGAAGAAAGACTACCCCTGGCACAAGGCCACGCGGCTTCTTGGCACCAGCAAATAACTTCCGTCCAAGTTAATCTCCAGGATTCGATTTAAAAAGACCCCCCACCTGGCGTCTCAACAGTCTCCCTTACCTGGATTGTGATATTTCTTGCCCACATATTCAAAGGCAAAGAGGAGCTGGAGGTCTGCCGGTTGTGAGTAGTGTGCTATTGCAAGACACACCTGAAGAAGAAAGGAGAAAGAGAAAGAACCTTTAGATGAGAGCAAGCTGGCCAGAACCCCTTACGCATTATTTTCCCGGCGAGAAATTACGAAGAAGGGGCAGAAAAACAGCCACGAAAGTCAGCAGAAATGGGTCGTCTCTAGGAATGCTTGCAACTTTGATTTCCTTCCCCACACACCCAGTGGGGGGAAAAAAACGTCTAACTTGTTAGCTGTTGGTGCTCACAAGGGCAACTGCACACAGTAACGCCTTTGTCATGGGTTTTAATGGATGCCGCTTCTTATTAGTAGCCAAGGCTGGCAATGGCTTCCATTGTGTGTCGTGGAAAAGGAAAAAAGGTCAACATTTCTTTTCCCGTCTACCGAGAGAGAAAATATTTCAGGGATTAATCATGTTCTTGTTGTTTTTTTTCTGAAGCGCTTAGGGTGCAAAAGAAAAGGGAAGCTTGGGAAAAAAAATCTTGGGTTGAAAGTGACCGCCTCAACTTTCAGTTCCTGCTTTCTGAGAATTCAGCAGCCCAGATGAAATAAGCTGAGAATCAGGGTTTGGGGGGTGTTTAAAAAAAAATCATTCCTACAGGAGATCCAAAGGAAAAAAATTGTGCTTTCTGTGTCCCGCACCGCTCAGCTGGACTCTCTTTGTAGACCAGGGGTGCCCAAACATGGCAACTTCCAAGACTTGTGGACTTCAACTCCCAGAATTCCTCAGCCAGCATAATTTACTCTCTTACAATCCCTTCCTCTGCAATCTCCCCACTTAGATCAGAGGCCTTCAAACTTGGCCACTTTAAGACTTGTGGACTTCAACTCCCAGAATTCCCCAGCCAGCATAAATTACTCTCTTGTCATCCCTTCCTCTGCAAACNAAGGATGGAAGGCTGAGTCAACCTTGAGCCGGTGAGATTAGAAACGCTGAACTGCAGATAACAGTCAGCTGAAGTGGCCTGCAGTACTGCACCCTCTAACCACTGCGCCACCTCGGAGAAGATGAACTGAAATACCGTAAACCTCAGTGAGGGTTTTAAAAAAAAACTGCAGTGATCATTAGGCTAACTTTCCCCAATTCTTTAACTGTTTCTCCCGGTCTGGGGCTGTGACTTTTTGGGGGGTTTTGCGGGTCCGTTTGCCCATCTGCAAGTTTCTGATAGGACCAAATGTCTTCCCTAACTTCATGGCGGAATCGGTATGGCTCATGTTAAAAGTTGGGATGGCTCCGTTTCACTTGTTCCTAGAATAGCTGCGTCTAATACAGAATAAAACTAATGGGTTGACCTTCAAATCACCTCATTCCTAAGCTCCAGAGATTATTCTGAAGGTCTTCAGTGAAGGAGTTCTAGAAGTAATGAAACTCGTAGACATTTAGACACCCCAACGACATTTCTAGAAAATGGAAGTAACTGATAAGGTTGGCCACTAAGTGGAGATGGTTGACACTCAACTCAACAGGAATAGCCAAGATCTGGGCAGAAAGTGGTTGAGTCTCCAGAAGACAACCTTGGAAAATCCTTCTGGCCCAGGAGAGAAGCCAATCACCAACCGAAGGGAGGACTTATTCAGATGCCCACTTAACCAAGACACATAAACAGAAAGAACTGATACATTTGTGGCTATCGAATATTCTCTGTGGAGTTGGATTCTCATTGATGACATGACCTAGTTGTCAGGGCTGTAGCCATCTTTTCTTTTGGGTCTTTGGCCTGCCACACTTCCTATTATTCTACTATGCATTTTCCGTTGTGGGGGATTGTACGGGGTTAGATGCTATGTAGCCATAACAACATTCTTTCTTGAAAGCCAAGGTCATCCTTTGTCTCTGCACCTGACCGGAACTGGATGGGTGGAACTGCCAGCATGGGAGTGGATGATTGGACCATGTGATGGACTTGTGGGTGTGGGGATGCAAGATCTTGAA